CACTTCAATCTGGAATGCCTTGCTGAGCACAATCGGTAAGCTGTCTCATCGCCTTCCACATGGTTATTAGACTTTATAGCCATCCTTTTACCTCATTTGTTCAAAATGAGGTATTCTACTTCATTTTACTTTATATCTACTTAAGTATGCTATTTTTTGTTGCATAAAATAAGGAATATTGAAATCGGAAATTCCAATTGGCACCCCCCATCCACTTCCGATGGTTAGTAGGTCTCATGATTCATGAAAAGCGAACCCCCATTGAGTTGGTGGATTGAATTTTGGAAGACACCATTCAAAGTTAGGTTTCCCTTAAGTTGTGTTCGAATTTTGGACGCTTTTTGTCTAAAATACAAGAAATAATTTTTACTATTTTTTATGAGTTCCAATAGGGGCTGATATTTAGCCGAATGCTAATTGCCTGTTACAACATCTTTTAGGATGTCGCAAACGAAATAGCATCCAGTGATTTCATTGGCTACCTTTGTATAATTCATGATAAAATTTTTTAAACTCTTCCTATTAAATGGTCAAAATGTGAACCCCGATTTCTTTGGTTATCTACTTTGCAGAAAGATCCAACCACTGCCAGATTCCTTACATCATTATTTTCTCTTTTTTCATGAATATAGACTAAGAAAACTTCATGGGTGTCCACCTCTTCGCTTGAGTCGATCCCTAGCAAAAGCGGCTCAAAAATATGCCAAAATAATGGCAAAAGAGGGGTTCTTTGAGCACAGCGAATGCACCGACTATGGAGAAAACCTAATCACTCGAAGAGGACCCGAAGGAGTTGTCTTAACCGGTATATCTCTTTGCTTAAAAAAAGGCTTAAGATTTGGTAACACGTTTGCTACTTGCGTCATGTATGTGTGACACCGCGACTTGTGACTATCTGAGCCCACAAATCATACACAGACATCATGAGTGTCACACGTCAGCTTACGATCATTTGAAGTGCTCATTTTAGCCACGAACTGATTTGTTGATGTTAGTAAAGCTTTTGATTCCTGAGTGGGAGTTTAATCAATCAAACACATGTGTGACAAGTGATAGCTGTGGCCGTTGTCAGTCTTCTTAGGTCCCGTTAACAAATATGCACTGCATCGGTTGACGAATGCCCCTCCAAATTTTAATGTCATTATTTATTACCAACGCAGAAGATTGGGCTGCTTCCTTTGCTGTAAGGAATCTGTCTGGCCATTCAGCTGTTAACAGAATACGTAAGCCTAAGTTTGGCAGGTTAATCTTACCTTTACTTTTGTCTTGGTTTTTATCACTGAGGGTAATGCCATCTGTAAGATGAGGAATCACGAAGTCACAGATTAACTTTGGAAACTTTCTAAAATGTCCGAATGAAAGAGCGATGGTGGTAGGGCTGGTTATTATACAGAGCGCTTACTGGTTAGTTGAATTATATGCAAGTTCCATTCCCCTGCGGTATGTCATTATCATGGCAGAAAGTTTTTATTCCTTGAGGAATTTAACAGAGGACCTATTCATTGCACCATACTGAAGAGGCAGCCTGAGCCACCATGCTTAAGTGGGAAGGAGTGTGTAAGATTGCGCTCTCGCTCTCGCAACGGCCTTCTTGCTACTCCTTTATTCGCAAGAGCACACATTTTTCGCCTCTTGGTAACGAAA